ATCGACACATGACATGCATATGTCATCAAATTTGTATGAAATCAATTAATAAAATATCAATATTGACACAAATCCAGTTCAGAAAAATCTGGGTAATTGTCTAGCCAAGTGCGGACAATGAACTTGCCAAGAAAATTGGTACCGGTGTTAAATATTTAACTAACTTAGCCACGAAGAAACACGGCTGGGAACTAATTAAAAATCCATCTACTATCAACAGTTGTGAATGTTTATGTTTATATATATATATATATATATATATATATATATATATATATATATATATATATATATATAATGCAGAAGATCATTATTCAGACATATATTGTTAAATATAAACAATTAATCAAATATCAATATTGACATCAGTCAGACGAAAATCCAGTTCAGAAAAATCTGGGTAATTGTCTAGCCAAGTGCGGACACTCAACTTGCCAAGAAAATTGGTACCGGTGTTAAATATTTAACTAACTTAGCCACGAAGAAACAAGGCTGGGAACTAATTAAAAAATCCATCTACTATCAACAGTTGTGAATGTTTATATATATATATATATATATATATATATATATGTAAGTATATAAGTTTCCCCTATACATTTTTTTCAAGAGAAAATACTGTGAAGTGGAGTTGCGCGCAGGTTTGTGCGTTGGCCGATCACAGCAGCACTTCAAAGATGTGTGCAGACGTGACATGAACCTGGCATACATCAGACCCCAACACCTGGGAAAGCATAGCAAACATTTGTGAAGCCTGGAGGATTGCTGTTTAGAATTGGAAACAGAAAGTAGGGAAGACCAGAAAGATTAGCTTGCTGACAAGGAACCAGGAGAAAAAGGTCAGCTATAGTCGCACGCACGCACGCACGCGCACACACGCACGCACGCACACACACACACACACGCACACACACGCACACACACACACACGCACACACACACACACGCACACACACACACATATATATATATATATATGATATAATGGAATATGCGTACACCTGTGTTCCCCCTCACTGGAATATGATTGGCTGGTGTTCGTCATAAATAGCGACGGGCGTGTAGGAGAGTCGAGAGCCTTAGTCTGAGAGCTATAACGACGCCCATTGAACTACGCCATTGATCTGCACTTCTTACCTGCGACTACGACGCATACCAGTCGATTACTGCTACCGTATTCTACTTGGTTATAGTAGTCAAAACCACTTAGCTACTTCGTTCAAATATATCCCTTTCCGGGACATATCAATATATATATATATACGAGCTGCATCAAAGCAGCAACAGGACTGGTTACAAAAAATTCATGTCAAATTAAAACTACAAGTTTTCCTCTTCTAAATTATCTCCTTCGAGTCTGACGCACTTTCCCACCTTTCTCCACCACGCCTCCATGCACTACTGGAAGGATTCTCCCGGGGTTTTCTGCAGCTCTTGATGGCTTCCACATCCGGAAAACGAGTTCCCTTGATGACCTCCTTGAGCTTGGGAAAAAGGAAAATATCACGTGGAACCAAGTCGTGTGAGTAGGGAGGTTGCTCCATCATGACGATGTTCATAAAGGAGACTTGTTTTCTGGATGTGGGATTCATCAATAGGGTTGTGACGATGAAGCTGCGAAGAATCCTTCCAGGAGTGTATGGAGGTGTGGCGGAGAATCCTCCCAGGAGCGTATGAAGGCGTGGCGGAGATGGATGGGAAAGTGCGTTATACACGAGGGGGATAATTTCAAAGGGGAAAACTTGTAGTTTGCATTTGACATGAATCATTTGCAAATTCAGTCCTATTTCTTTTCTGACACCACTCGAATATATATATATATATATATATATATATATATATATATATATAAACAATATGTAGGAAAATCTGAATGACCCTTTCACTACAGAATTAATAATTATCGCTATCGAATTAAGTCGACTCCCCATGAAAGATTATTACCTGTAGAACAATATTTCCGCCTAGAAAAACACGATTTTAAAACCCATGCCAAATTCACTATAATTGAGAGAATAGAAAAATTCAGAGCAGATAACATTAGAAAGATTTTAGAGTCCCATGAAAATAAGTGGATACGACGTTTATAAACGCACTATCTAGACGGGCTTAATCATAAATTTAACAATATAGATAGTATTAATGTATAACCCCACAAATCAGGACCTACCCACATTTCTCACCCACACAAGACAGACATGCTTACGGAGGTGTTGAGGCCTCACACGTATACACACACCCACACGAATATACACACTTACACACATCATACTCACTCACTCCGTAAGAACCAAATAACACACACACTTAACAGAGACACATCCCCTTTCCAGGAACCAATAAAACTGTCAAAATGACCAAGGAAATTCAGAGCAGCATGAATCCATCCAGCTCTTATCTTAAATAACAACTTAAAAGAGACTGTTTGACCAACACGAGGACGGACCAAAATTCATGTTAAAAAAATAAAAAAATTCATTTCTGTAGTCCACTGCTACCAGCAAGCAGAAATTTTTTCTTCTGATGATGGCCATGTTGGCCGAAACTAGTCGAGGAATCTAACTGAAATAATAATAAAAACGAAAGAATATTAATATACAACCCAGTGTGTCTGAAGATTTTAATTTTTATATTTTTTTTTTGTTCAATATATATATATATATATATATATATATATATATATATATATAGTGTGTGTGTGTTTTTGGTTATTTGGGAACTTTTCAATACCGCCTCGCATATATCCTGTTTTAAATGTAACGAACGGTTTTGAATATTTCTAAAATATATGGCTGTATCCCAAATAACTAGAAGCCGCCTTATTGCATATGCATCACCAAACATTCTCACGCAGGGTTACTTATTCAGACGTCTATTTGATTATCAAGTGGAGTCCCGCACATACACTCGTCTTCCACCCTTATATATAAGCGTGTTTTCATTATGCCACAAGTAGTTGATTGTGTAATATGTTCGATACTCAATGAGTACTCCATAACAATAACCTTGTGCCAGACTACACAAAAGTATAGAAAAAAATCACGATATCATGATACATAACGATGTATGTACATTAAGGAAAACGTATTTCTGTTACTCTGGAGTAACGGGCTCCTTTAGTCTGGGACACCTTTAGTTAGGAACCCCTTTAGTCACCGACCCCCTAAAAAGAACTAGTCCTTCATAGGCAGATAGACAAACAAATACTCACGTCGGATTAGTTTTTCACAACACTTAGGCGTCCATTTCTCCATACTGCACCCCCATGCACACTTCACACACATCACTTTTCAGACAGCCACGCTTGAAATAAATTGTGGTCAATTAATCCACACCGGTATGTGAGATGATAATCTAGCCGTAGTGAACCGTGGCAAATGAGAATTATGGACTGGTAAAAAGATGGCGGTTGTGTAGAGGATGAGGATATACGTTTCAATGGTAAACATGAACCCAACAGCAAGTCAAGAGATGCCTATTGGTCGGCACTATAAATAGTGGTTGGGTGTGTTTTCTTTCAGGCAGTGGCAGGATGCATTTTCTTTCATTTCTTTCAATGGGAAACCGTTTTTTTTTTTGCACCGGGATTATATAGTGAATATAAATGTTAATTTTTATCTGGTTCTCACGCACCCCTGAAACCCATCCTAGACCCTAAGGTTAGCTCTGGTCTAAAGTAATTTTGTTCTCATCACCCATCCAGATACATTACGTTTTCAGGGAACAATCTGAAATCTTTTAAAGAATTTCATGCAAAATTTCTATATTATTTGTTTTTTCTTTGACATCAGATACCAACGACAATATTATACTAGTTAACAATGATGATCACTGCCGGGTACTAGAATTCACTTAATCTTTTAGTTCATTACTTCACCAAGGTCAATACATCAAGATCATTTTAAATCGGATCAATAGAAAAGCACGGAGAAAAAGCACGGAGAAAAAGCACGGTTGTGTTGGTAAGATGTAAGTAAAAACAAATGTAATATAAAATGTAAAAACAAATCTGTTAGAAAACAGTTTTTTTTTAACCAAAGAAAAACTTCACTGAAGAAACTGAGAATAACAGAAAAGAAAATGTAAATCACTTATTCTCATCAAAACATGGCAGAAGACAAGAATTCTAAAAATACTAAAAATCCGTCATAATTTGAGTCCTCATTCTTCGTCACGCAAAGAGAATTTCAAATTTGTTGGAATTTATTTTGCGAACATAGCAAAGTGTTTAGAAAAAAATACATTAAGTGATAAATCTCCATGCATGTAGTTTCATGGCTTTTGACCAAAATTTTCTTTTTATCGCGATCACCCCAAGTAAGAGAGTAAATCCACTAAGACACAAGGGGTTACAGGGTGTGGCAGTATTAGAAAACAGAAACATTAGTAAGGAAATGGACAAAAGATGATTAATTAAGTGACGTGGGTGTGAAACTGCTATCAGTGTTGATATGTCTACAGACTTGGCATTGGGGTTTATTGTAGGTGACATTCACTTGGTGAGGTGGGGAATATATATATATATATATATATATATATATATATATATATATATATATTGTAGGAATAACGTAAACGTTTCCTGAACATAACGTAAATTTTCTTAAGTCTTTGTTTCCACAATTTAGGGATCCTGATGCTGGGTGTGGGGGAGACACAGAAACAGAGAGAGAGAGAGAAGTAAATATATATATATATATGTGTGAGAGAGAGAGAGAGAGAGAGAGAGAGAGAGAGAGAGAGAGAGAGAGAGAGTATAGATAAATATTAACAGACTGAGATATATATGTAGATTAGAGTAGAGGAAAAACTTGAACGATTCTTCTTGGGTTGGGCCCTTGACAAATCGCCTTACGGAATGTACGAATCCCTTTGCTCCCCACCCCCTCCGATGTAGGTTAAATATTAGGGCTTGTGTCTGGAAAGATTATTGTTATTCTAAAAAACAAAAATTAAGAGAAAAAAAAAACAATTATTCTCACAATCCAAAATATGTTTAGGCTTTTGGAGATCTATCTATCTATCTATCTATCTATCTATCTATCTATCTATCTATCTATACTTGTTTCTTCGTTATCTATCTATCTATCTATCTATCTATCTATCTATCTATCTATCTGGATGTCATGCATGGCGCCAAACTCGTTCTGAAATATCTAAACTGTCAGCTGTATACAACCGCTTTCTAAGATCAAGGATTAGAAATGGCTTTGAGCTAGTGAAGCCTGTGGGTCTTGGTGTAGACCCATTCTTCTTTTAACATCGTGGACTGGCACTACAGAATCACAAAGAACTGTTCCCAGTGACAGAAACCAAATCAATTGAGGACATTCAACCACAGCAATAAAAAGATGGATATAACATTTAACTCAATTGTTAACATTCTATCACAGTTTGTGACGATGCACATAAAAAAGAAAAAAAAAACTATTAGCCAAACAGGATATAAATCCAATTTAGTGAATTTGGAGTTTTATACAGTAAAAAAATAGCAAAGTCAGTTTGTGGAATGTCGTTCAAGAACAGTGGGATTCTCTGTACGTTGATTTTTTGCAAAAGCTGATATTATTGTCAAACAATTGAATGCGGTCACAGGTGGCCATATTGAATATAAAACTGCAGTGGCTCATTTTTATTATTTGTTTGCTTTTAAAACTTTCTTGGCGCATTAATTCATAGTTATAGGCTAAAAATATACGATTCTGCATGGCCCATTTTTTTCAGAGGAATATGTGTCAGTTTTGAAATTAAAGCTTTTATACAAACATCATTTCCGTGTTTAAAATAAAACTAACAATATTTGAAACGACGTGAGGAACATGACTATAAAAGAGTGAGGAAGAGAGTGAGAGAGTTACTGAGAGAATAAAATGATAAAAGAGAAAAATCGAATAAAACAGAATATAAATCGGAGAGTGAGTGAGTGAGTGAGTGAGTGAGTGAGTGAGTGAGTGAGTAAGATAGATAGATAGATAGATAGATAGATAGATAGATAGAGAGAGAGAGAGAGAGAGAGAGAGGTAGAAAAGAAAATAATGAGAGAAAATCGAATAAAACAGAGAGTGTGAATCGGAGAGAGAGAGAGAGTGATAGAGAAAAGGAAATAATAAGAGAGAAAGATTGAATAAAAGTTTGAATGAAAAATCAGATGACAGAAAGAGAGTGGGTGAGTGTGTGTGCGTGTGTGTGTCTCTCTCTCTCTGTGAAAGAGAGAGAGAGACAGAGAGAGAGGAGGAGGAGAGAGAGAGAGAGAGAAAGAATGAAACAGTAAGAAAGAAATCGAATATGACAGAAAGTGAAAGAGTTTAGTCTGCGCCTAGGTGCGCCGTTGCTTAAAAAGCTAGAAAAACACTGGGCTAGTTTATTAGGCTAAATGTTTCAGAAAATAGACTTAGACCTAACTTACCTGTTGGATATGGACAATAAAAAGAGAACCACCTGCCTTGTAGGTTAAATAAAGGGTTCAGTTCAAAATTCCCTGATGGAGGCCGGAGGGCACAGCGGTTGAAACGTTGTGAAGATAACAACAAAGATGAAGACAATATCCCGCATTTAAATAATGCCTAAATTTACCCCCCCCCACTCCGCTTTAAAGAAAAAAAAAGCACATATATATGACAAATTTCAACTCTCAACATCTCTGTAAAATATGCACATGTATGTATTGAGAGTAATGACGGTTGTTTTGCGATGTTGGTTCTGGTTGACTTCAGCCGAGAGAAGTTGGTGAGAAGGACTTATTTAGAGTTGCTTTTTAAAATTAGGGCGTTGGGGAAATTGATATGCTTAAAATTTAAAGATTGACAAAAAAGATGTTGAAGTCGGGTGTTGGTGGGGGGGGACTGAAAATCGAGACAATTTTTCATAGAGAAAAAAAAAATAAATGTGAGAACAGAAAGGAGAGAAAAATTAAGGGAATAACGTTGTTTAGAGATTGAGAGAAAAGAGAAGTGAGAGAAAGACAGAGACTGAGAGAGAGAGGGAGAGGGAGAGAGATGGGGAGAGAGAGAGTGTGTGTGAGTGAAGCAGACAATAAAATAACGAGAGAAAAATCGAATAAGACACACACACACACACAGAAAGTGAAATAGGGAATAAAATAAGAGAGACGAAATTGAATAAGATAGGGAGTGATAGAGTACCTGAGCGAGAGAGTAAATTAATAAGCGAGAAAAATCAGATCAATATAAAGAATGAGAGAGAAAGAGAGAGAAATTGAGTGATTGAGAAATTATGCGAGGAAAATCAGAGCAGACAGAGAGAGAGAGAGAGAGAGAGAGAGAGAGAGAGAGAGAGAGAGAGTGAGTGATAGAGAGAATACAATTATAAGTGAGGGAAATCAGATCACACAGAGAGAGGGAGAGAGAGAGAAAAAAGATAGAGAGATAGAGAGAGACAGAGATGACAGAGAAAGAGAGAGAGACAGAGAGAGGGGGAATGAAATTGAGTGATAGAGAGAATAAAATTGTAAGTAAGGAAAATCAGATGAAAGAGAGAGAGAGAGAGAGAGAGAGTGTGATAGGATAAAATTATAAGTGAGGAAAGTCGAATAAGGTCGTGAGAAATAAAGACTGAGTGAAAAAAAGAATGAGATAATTAGAGAGAAACATCGAATAAGACACAGAGAGTGAGTGGGAGAAAGATTGAGTGAATGAGAGGGGGAGAGTGATAGTGGGCGTGAGAGAAAATATCATAATAAGGAAGAAAACAACGAAAATAAAGGAACTAGACTGAAGTCAGAGAGAGAGAGAGAGAGAGAGAGAGAGAGAGCAGTAATGATAGGGAAAGAAAAAAGAAAGAAAGATAGAAAAAGAAAGAAAGATAGAAAAAGAAAGATAGAAAAAGAAAGAAAGAATTCTAATAGTGACGGATAATCTTTTTCACCAGGCCACTGTGTCCTCTTGAGTTGGTTTTTATTTATGCCGTCAACATTTCGTTGGTCATAGTTGCTGATGTTGCTTGTATTGCTGAAAACAATATCAAGTGTCTGACTTTATAAGACTGAATTTAAATTTTTCAAAAATCACCCTTTCCCTGTCCCTTTCAAAAAAAATTCCCCAAGTTTTATCCCGGATATAAGAGACCCGGATATAAGAGAAACCCGGATATAAGAGAGATTTTCTCTGGTCCCAAATTAGAGCCTGTGTTAATGTAAACAAAATAGACCAAACCTGGATATAAGAGAAACCTGGATATAAGAGACTTCTTCTCCGGTCTCGACAACTCTCTTATATCCGGGTTACACTATATATATATATATATATATATATATATATATATATATTCATAGAATTATAGAAGTTTAGAAATTATCCAATCATTTTGAATATCTCAAGAAAAATGTGTGAATCATTGATTCAACTCGACAGCTGTTGAAACGCCATTTTACTAGGCATATGCTAACATATATTCTGCAATGGGCTTACGCAAGTGACATCATCATTATGTAGTTTACACATCGTTTCCTTCTGCTCCTGATATACCATCAGTATGTCCTGTGAGGCTCTCATTCCACAAGCCCATTTCCTCATAATCCGTGCCAGATATTTAAATTGTATCTTCCAGATTATAAGTACAAGTATCGCATATATATATATATATATATATATATATATATATATATATATATATATATATATATATATATATATACATCAATGTTTTAAATGTTAAAACCTCAAGTGCAGTCAGTTACTCATTAATTAAATAATTAATTAATTAATTAGTACATTCATTTATTCAGTTAGCCAGTCAGTATATATCTATCTCAAGCTTTATACATTTTGTATTCAATATGTGTCTGTGAGATGGTGTGGATATGTGTGTGCGTACATATATATATATATATATATATATATATATATATATATATATATATATATATATTATGTAAAATGTGTTAATTTCTCTTGAGTGAACATGACAAGCTCGTATGCTAAATTTAGTGATAAATTGGTTATTTCTGGGCTCTATTCTGAATTTCACAGCAGAATTATTTTTCTTAAAAGAACTTGGAAGTAAAACTAATAAGTTGCTTTGAGCAGACATGGCGGCCTCATCAGCAAACATGGCGGCCTGATCAGCAAACATGGCGGCCTGATCAGCAAACATGGCGACCTTATCAGCTTTTTTTTACCATGACTCTAATGCAAATTATTATTGATTCTAATGTCATATTCTGATGTAGATTTCCACTTATATGGTAAGAAAGAAATTCATGGAAAACTGAATAAAATTAGTATGCAATGTCATTGAAGTGGAGATGTTTGAAAAAAAAGAAAAGAAAAGTTTTTGCATATTGATAAGGTTTTCTTTTTTTTTTTTTGAACGGAAATACAAAAAAAACAAAACAAAACAAAATCAATGAAAATAATATATATACGATAGAAAGTTGAAAAATTCTCCGACCAAACCATTTTCAACCATCACTATTTTTTCAGGAATAATATTTTTATTTCGAGCCGCTAGCCTTCGTTATATATACATATATTTTACAATTGGAATTAAGATGCATTTAGTTAATGACCATTGTCACCTACAAAATTTAATTTTAAAAATTCGCAGGATTTTTCAAACTTTTTATGGTACCAGTTTGTAGTGGAATACTCTGTTTAATAAAAATAAACATTGAGCGCTCTTTCGTTAGTCAGTTTTAACATATTTCAGATTCGATGTTGTGTTAACAGGATTACTACCTGTATCTATCTATCTATCTATCTATCTATTTATATATATATATATATATATATATATATATATATATGTGTGTGTGTGTAAATTATTTTCAGATAGAGTGCATCTGTAAAGGAACAAAATGAATAAAAAAAGAAAGAGGAAAAATTATTCTTAGCCGATCCGTATATATATATATATATATATATATATATATATATATATCTTATAAATATATATAAATTTTAATTTGTCCTGAAAACCTTAATCTAGAGACAACATAATACCTTACTAATTTGAAAATGAATAAACAAATATCTCTAATATTCAAATGGAAAAAATATGGTACAAAAAAATATATAATATAACATATAATATATATATATATATATATATGTACGTTAGAAATTTTACCGTCCCGAAAACCTAACCGCCTTGAGCATTCAAGTTCAATACCAAAGAAAAAAACAAAAAAAAAAGAACAGAGAAAATGTATTAACTAAATAAATAAAGTTCAGAGTCAATAAAAAACCGATAAAAGCTAAAATTAACTAAACCTAAAGTTAAACCTAAAGAGCCAGACAAACTTAAACCTAAAAGACAAACTTCAATCACTAAGCGGATCGTCAGGATTTTCTGATTTTCCAGAAATCACTGACGATCCGCTTAGGTGAAACCGTGGTAGGTTGTCTGACTCTTTAGGTTTAACTTATATATATATATATATAAAGACGTGCCTTTACCGCTCGGCCACAAAGTAAATTCGACCATGTCTACCGTAAGGTTCTTTGTGGCCGAGCGGTCAAGGCACGTCAGCGTATATGACGGTTCCGTATAGGATGCAGGTTCGAATCCTGTCAAAGAATGAATATTTTCTATGAAAATTTCTCGGACATTCAGGCCGGTAAATGTTATTTAATACTGTTTATCATAAACAGAGCATTTGCTTAAATACTTGTATCTATAAATAACAACGTTAAACATAAAAATGTCTTTAATAAATAAATTGTCGGACCTTGTCCATTTCTTAACATATATATATATATATATATATATATATGGCTTGGCAAAACGAAGATCACGTGGGAGTCTGTACATGGTCGCAGTAGTTGCAGCTAAAAATCTGGTCTGAGCTCGATGGCATAGCATTGCAATACTTTCTCCTCTGCCTCTTGTCCTCTGTAGATATTTTCAAAGAAGGAGACAGCATGGTTGGTGGTGAGACACCAGGCGTCACGGTTCTGAGCTAGGGTTGACCATTGGCAATGCTTAATGTGACAGGCAACGAAGAATTTTTTCAAGCAATCTTTGAATCGCTACTTTGGTGCCCCTCTGCCACGATAGCCAGTGGAGAGCTCGCTGTACAATAAAATTTTTAGTCAGGCAATGGTTCTCCATCTATGTACAGCCCACACACACACACACACATATATATATATATATATATATATATATATATATATATATATATATATATATATATATATATATATATATATATATATATATATATATATAAGTTTCATTAAAGACAACAATATACAGCAATTAAACTTTTTATTTAATTTTTCTTGTGTTCGTATTTTGGGACAAAAATTGTGTAAAAACTCTCCAAATGTTCCGTATATCCCAGCGCTTTCGGCTATTCTATTAACCATTATTAAGGATGTTTATTTTTATTTTTAATTGAATTTGTATATATATATATATATATATATATATATATATATATTCACTTCAAACGTTATTTTTAATGGATATCCGTATTTGAGTGGACACCCCGTTTTTAAACTGCGTATTATGTCTAATGCCCGTACACTCGGAAAAATTAATGAAGACAATATCCAAGCGTCCATTAGATGCGCGAGATGTCATTGACTCAGAAAATGGAAATTCCAATTTCAGTCGATTAGTTGTTTTGTTTATTTACACTAATACCTTTGGAAAAGGCATGAATAAATCTTCCTTCAGATATGCGTTAACTAATAGGATAGAATGTGCTTTCTTACAGCCAGTCTAATAGAAGAGACACTCTGAAGTTAAACCTGAGGAGGTCTTTCTGGGATTACGTGGCATATTAGGCACCATTTCTCGGTTAGATCTTTTTTATAGGTGTGGCTGTTTTGACACAATCCTTCACTCATATGATCTAAACATCCGTGTGGGTAGTATAGCAGTTTAATTATAAACTGAACTGTTACATATCCAAAAGACAAGACCCATCAGCCTAAATGTTGGCACGAAGATCAGGTGATAATTTATTATTGACGGACATGATTTTATTAGCATAAGATACGCAGATAACATTGTATTAATAGCAAAATCAGAAAGGAAACTAAAAAGACAAAACAAAAACGATTAGACAAGGCAGTAACGGAAAGCATGAAGAAAGGACTATCAACTCTAAGAATACGTCACCAGCAAAGGCACAACCCAATGTGTGTACTACTTATTTCTCTTGAAATCGAAATCTCAAAAATGTGGCACACGAGAACATAAACAATTCCTATTGTAGTTGGAGCCCTCGGATTGATTGGAAAACGTTCCAATAGACACATTGAAGGAATTCCTGGTAGCCCATGCCTTACAGAAATACAAAAAAAAAAAAAATTCTCGCGAGTACAGTCCACACATTATGTAAAATATATGTGATTTTTTTTTAATTACTCAGTGGATAATGTCATGAGGCTATTTCTGGGCTTAGGTCTCTGGTCAGAACCCGGAAAGAAATGAGTACACACCAGAAATCAAAGGAAATAAAATAATAATAATAATATAAAAATAACGCACTTAAGTCATCCACATTTAAGGCAGCCGCAAATGTCAATCCAGCCGGAGTGCAGGAGGAAAGGATTGCTTATGGAAGGTAAATGCTTAAAAACTTAAGAAGACAGGTTCTTTTTTTTTATCCGTTCGATGTAGTGAAGAATGAATCAACCGAGTTAAAGAGCACGAAATAAATGTGCAGCTAGAAAGGGAGATTGTATTGCCTCAGCTCTGACTCGATGGGTTTGTGAGGAATGTGGCTATATCTGTTTATTAAAAGCTGGACTGAAATTAGGTTGCTATGTGCAAGGGCATCAGATGATCCCCGTTTACTCCTGTACCATAATAATAAGAATAATACGTTCTGGTAAGAAATTTGATGATTTTTACATTTATTTCTATTGTTTGTAAATTCAATTCATTCTCTGGTACGAATGCATTAAAACAATCAAGTTATTGGTAAGGAAACATATTTGTAGATTCGCTGAGACCAGATGGATTTGGTAATATTTTAAACTCACGACCATCAGTAGAATACTCCACACCCACCACTTACTACTACTGCTACTACTACTACTACTACTACTACTACTACTAATAATAATAATAATAATAATAAAGGTATACTTTTTTCTGTTGAGCGACAGCTATTCCCGTATCGCAACGAGTCTACTGAAAACAATAAATGTTATCTTTCCCGCCCGCTGTTTCTACACTTCATGCCCACATGGTTGATGAACGTAAATCATATGGAAAATAATAAATTAGAAATTCACGGGATTTGTCTACAGACGAATGATAAATGCATTAATATTTTATCGAAAAACATGCGGTTTACCATAGGTTTCAATTGCAGTATGCGGTCAGCCATTAATTTTTATCATGGTATGTGACCTACAGTTTATTAATAAGTATGTTTTGCTTGGAATTGACAGTTTATTAAGAAATCAATTTATTTTAAGAAGAATCAATGCTAGATTAAGTATTGTACGTCAAAGGTTGATAGAAAATTTTGTTGTGTACACAGAAGAAATTGTAATAAATTGACATTGAATGAAATTGAAATAAATTGACAATGAATGAAATTGTAATAAATTGACAATGATTGAAATTGTAATAAATTAATATTGAATGAAATTGTAATAAATTGATGTTGAATGAAATTGTAATAAATTGACAATGAATGGAATTGTAATAAATTGACAATGAATGAAATTGTAATAAATTGACAATGAATGAAATTGTAATAAATTGACAATGAATGAAATTGTAATAAATTAACATTGAATGAAATTGTAATAAATTGACAATGAATGAAATTGTAATAAATTAACATTGAATGAAATTGTAATAAATTGATGTTGAATGAAATTGTAATAAATTGACAATGAATGAAATTGTAATAAATTAACATTGATTGAAATTTTAATAAATTGACTACTGACTTTAACTCTGATAACTGAACTTCCATTACAAGCCAAAACCAAGAAAGAGTGAATCATCTCTCAAAGACTATCCCATCAAGATCATAATCCCGAAACCCGTAATCTTGTCTGGTCGTATTTGCACTTCATGTAATACAACCATAGCAACGCTGGGTGTGCTGATGTTAGATAACCTGAAGTAGCCCATCTTTTCTCAGGCACGTTTTGAATCCAGGGTTGTTCTCCAAGACTTTCTGCCACCTAAGGTTAGAGAACCAAGTTTGCCTTGCTATTTAACTCATAAATGGTGAGAGAAGAGACAGGTTGGTGCCTTTCGCCACTGGTGCGAAAGTGAACGAAACAGACTCGCCCAGAACTTGAACTCTGTTCAGCAATTCAACTTTCAGAGCCGAGATCCATTACACTACCTGCACGTTCCAAGAACAGCGAATATCAGAAATGTATAAGGGTGAATTTCGAAAAAAAAAAGCATTAAATCTTGGCTGTCTGGAAGATGTCTTCGGGGATCGCGTGAAACCTGCCATTTCAGAATCTTCTGAATGAGACCCGAATAAAAAAAGGGACTTGTTAAATTAAAACAAACCTTAAATCATAGATCTGCTGTAAAAAAAAGTAGCATATAACAGCTTGTTTCACTATACTGCCCACCAAAAACAAAATTGTTTTCTGCCAAGTATGTCACATCAGAAGCACTTGCACTCTCGACAAGCCTCCATGCCCTGAACGTCTTTTGGGGGTGCAATTTCACTCTAGATCTCAAGTAGAACTCGTATATACAATCTATTGTCAAAGATGCTGGAAAAATGATCAGCTCATTCTATCGCACTAATGCATCCTTCCTTTTTTGCCAAGAGTCAGGTTAGCCGTGGCTACTTCGTCGTGGTGTAATGGTTAGCACTCTTTTCTTGTTAGATCAGTTAGTACAGAATAGAGAGTTCGATTCTTACTGGATGCTCCATGCTTTCGGCCTTGTTCCACATCTGAGCTACGCTTAGAATATATTTTAGGTTACAATTGCTGTATCCCGAGTTAGATTAGACCTAAAATGGAGTATTGCTGACATTTCTGAGCTCGAGTTGCCCAATACTTTCTTTCAAGTTTTTATAAAGTACAGAACTGATTATCAGGCTAATGTTTTTTTATTTTTATTTTGGGAATAAAATTGAAAAAAATAGTTGCCAGCACTTGCTAACACAGATTTCAACTCATCTGAGTGTATCATCAATTCCTTAAGTTGGAGCCATCTCTCAAGAAACCATGTCAGACGCTGAAGCACACAAACGGAGGGATGAAGAGTAAGGAAGGGTTTTAAAAATGAGTAACAGACACAGTGACAAATATTTTGAGTTTTGGGCATGGAATGAAAAAAAAAAATATGTGAAAATAATTATCGACAACGTAGACTAGCAGATATTGTTAGCGATGAAATTGGCAGATATATTCTACAAATATTTTCCCAAAACAGCATAGATTTGAGCGCCAATCACCTACGTTTTTCGTTTGAATCATAGGATATCTCAGGTCGGTACCACCAAATAGTTACGAGAAGTTAAGCGAGAAATAGTGAAGAGGAACAAATTAAAAAACACAGAAAGTCTATAAACATGGATTTGAGCATCTGTGTCTTTTTTTTCTATCTCTCTGTTTGGTTCTATCAACCTATGGAATCTCGTTTCATATGAGTAAGTTCATCAAGAAAAACAGCGTATAACTTACCTAACAAGCTTGTATAAATGGTTAGCAGAACAGGAATTAAAAGTGGTAACGAGAAGGTAAACTTTACTAAGAGTTAAAAAGAACAGGGAATCGTGGCGAGCCATGATCGTCTACGTGTTGAAGGGACATGACACGTGGAAAAAGAAGAATCTCACTTTCTCTACAGTAATATCTATCTATCTATCTATCTATCTATCTATCTATCTATCTATTTCAGTATGTCCATATCTATCTATCTATCTATCTATCTATCTATCTATCTATCTATCTATCTATCTATTTCAGTCTGTCCATTATCTATCTATCTATCTATCTATCTATCTATCTATTTATCTCCATTATCTATCTATCTATTTCATCTATTTCAGTCTGTCCATTATCTATCTATCTATTTCAGTCTATCTATCTATCTATCTATCTATCTATCTATCTATCTCTATTCATCTATCTATCTATTTCCAGTCTGTCCATTATCTATTATCTATCTATCTATCTATCTATCTATCTATCTATCTATCTATCTATTTCAGTCTGTCCATTATCTATCTATCTATCTATCTATCTATCTATCTATCTATCATATCTATCTTTATCTATTTCGGTTTTCATCTATTCATCTATCTATCTATCATGGATCTATTCGTTATCTATTTATTGTCCAAAATTCGGATCTATCTATCGTCATCTCCCTATCTATTTCAGTTGAATTATCTATCTTCATCTATCTATCTATCTATCTATCTATCTAAAATTATATCTATCTATCTTTACGGTTTTTCGTCTGGTTTTTAAAAATTCGGATGTCGAAATTCGAACGCCACAAAAATTATACTAGCGTCTGGTTTAAAAGAGTCGAATGCACGTGATACACGATTTATCAATGAAAAACAAACGACACAAAAATAAAAATACCAGAATTTCCTTCTTCTTTTTCTCTGTATCACCTTCTCTGACGAAGCGTTAATAAAAGTGAAACATGTTTCATTGACAAACATTTCCTATTTGTTATCTATCTATCTATCTATCTATCTATCTATCTATCTATCTATCTATCTATTAGTGTATTAACCTATCAGAATCGAACCAACTATACATGGAATGATTGAGGAGTAGCTTGCTAACGATTACTCTCTGGAAGATGCCTTATATAGTTATGTATAACATTGGTTTGTGCAATTCTTTCTGAAGGATAACAGTTTTCACTTGGGGTATTCAGTCTCACATTTTATTGTATTTTTAAACGCGACGGTAATATTTGCATAAACCTAATAAAAATTGAGTACTACGTACGAATAATTGTTGCGTTCCCTAATACATGTTTACATCAATTTGATAGAAAAATAAACATAATAATTTTTTTAAATGCTAGAAAAAGCAATTATGAACAATCTGATCTATAAAGAAAAATAAAAAGGATATTTTTATTACGGATTCCAGAAAGATATTGATCATTACATTCAAAATGGTGGTCTGATATTTTGAAAGATAATGTTCCGTTAAGCAGATATCCAGTAGCTTTAATATATATTATACAGAACAAGTTCTGAAAAATCCAAAGAGACTATCTTTTTACATCTACCTTTCTTTCTTTCTTTCTTTCTTTCTTTCTTTCTTTCTTTCTTTCTGTCTATATGCCTGATTATTTTTGTTCGTTTGTTTATCTATCTATCTATCTATCTATCTATCTATCTATCTATCTATCTATCTATCTATGTGTCTGCCGAAGAGAAAAAGTCTAGAGTCAAGTATATACATTTATACATCAAAGGAATGAAAGAGATATCTTTCAAGATGTTAAGAGAGAAAAGGACGTTGCAGCGTAAACTAAATATGAATAATAACTTTTACAACACACGCACGCATATGTATAACATATATCTAAATAAGTAAATATATATGTCAGTATGTATGCATTCGTGTAATATGAAGTCAGGCACACTGAGAATCACATATATAAAGATAAGTATATAAGCAAATGTCTGCATACTGACACACACACACACACACACACACACACACACACACACACACACACATATATATATATATATATAAATATATATATATATATATATATATATTATAGATATGAAAACACACGTACACGCAAACACATAACCGACAGATATGAAACCAACACTAACCATGCAGTTTTCATTTCTATAACCACAGTATCTATCTTTCTCAGTCTATTCAGTATCTATCTATCTATCTATCTATCTATCTATCTATCTATCTATCGCATCTATTCTATCTATCTATCTATCTATCTATCTATCTATCTCAAGTCTATTCAGTATCTATCTATCTATTCTATCTATCTCATCTATTCAGTATCTATCTCAGTCTATTCAGTATCTATCTATCTATCTATCTATCTATCAGTCTATTCAGTATCTATCTATCTATCTATCTATCTATCTATCTATCTATCTATCTATCTATCTATCTATCTATTCAGTATTTATCAATCTCAGTCTATTCAGTATCTATCTATCTATCTCGGTAAATACTGTATATACTCGAGTATACTACGAGTTTTTTATGATCAGTCTTTTACGTAAGGAATAGGAAGCTTTCTATACACACCGTATTCTTTTTAAGAGGTAAAAAATCATGCATTTTCTGTGACCACTTGAACAGGAACATTTTTTTTGTAAAGGGGTTAAAATCCATGCCAAATATTTCAGAGGTCGCACTATATATGAAGTCGGCTTATACTTCGGCTTATACCGGAGGCCAACACAAATCAGCAAGTTATCGAAGCCTATTACGAAAATGGACTTTCAAACAGAAATGCAATTGGAAGTTAACAGGTCGCACCATCTCTCGAAACAGCGAAGTCAATTGACCACCACGATCGTACGACTTGACGCCTTTAAATTTCTTCCTTTGGGGTCATCTCAAAAGTAAGCCAACAAAAATTCAACAGCTGAAGGATGAGATAATAAGGCATATTGGTGAGATCGAGGAGCAACTATGCAGAGACGTCATCAAAATTTTGACCATCCAGTGGAGGCATTTGGGCAATATTATTTTTACACATAAATAACATGCCAATGGAGAAATAAATAAATAACAATTTATTTACTGATGATGATCCGAATGAAAACACCCTTTATATAATATTTATATATAAAAGAACCAACTAAGGCGACAGTCTGTTTTATTATATGCAATCGTTACTTAGATGACTTTGTTCATCCGTCTTCTCTGATATTGAAATCCCATAAATATAGAAACACACCTTTTATATTTATTTATATATATATATATATATATATATATATATATATATATATGAGAGAGAGAGAGAGAGAGAGAGAGAGAGAGAGAGACTTATGTTATAGATTACAATTACAGAAATATTTTGGATATTAATATGCTATAGCAATTAACAAAAAGGAACGTTTTCACGCGACCAGCTTACCACCAAGTGACGGTTGGTTGTGGGGAGATGAAAATATGTTCAATGATTGCCTGCTGTTTGCCGGTATCATGTCTGCTTTGTACGATGCGTCTATAATCAATGAATTCAACAGGCTTTACTTAAGAGTTCGACGAACTGCAGTTCTCATTAAAGAATATGTGAGAAATTTGGCGAACGACAAAGAAAGCCGATTGGATGAAAAGCACGTGGAAAGCCGCTTGTTGAAAGAACGAGGGAAAACATGTCGAGAAGGAAAACTGAAGGAGGCGGAAGACGTACAGGAAATTTGATCGGGGGATGAAGAGAGGCCTTTATAATAAGAATCAAGATAAGAAAGATGGTATTTTTTTTTCATAGGATTTAGTATTTTTTTCCTTAGCATTTTTTTTAGCACAATTTCTTTTCAAGGTGTAAGCGATAGTGACTTTTACGAAAATTCATTTTGTTTACTATCTGTGAATGTCCATTCATTCTTAGGAAGGCTATTGGAGTGGTTTATGATATATAATTTGGAGTTTTACTTCCCCTAGTATGGTTGATAAGCAAGGCTATAGAGACCAGTCTACCCTGTTATTTAACCCATATCTAGGGGGAGAAGAGAAAAATTCATGCCTTTTTTCAAGGGCATTTGTGGGAAAGTGAAGGCAACAGACCAGCACACGTCGATATCCGTTACACTACCCGCGCAACCTCGAAGATTCGTAATTATATATTGAATGATTGAAAAATCTTTTTTTTATACGTTATTAATTATTATTTTTTTACTAGTCATACTTTCAAAGCTCTCTTTCCTCTGATCTTCCATTTACTCCGTCTGTTTTTTCAGTTATTTTTCATATACAGCATTTATTATTATTATTATTGATTCTTCTTCTTCTTCTTCTTCTTCTTCTTATTATTATTATTAGCTATTATTATTATTATTATTAATTATTATTATTAATTATTATTATTATTTATTATTACTATTATTATTATTAATTACTATTATTATTAATTATTATTATTACTTACTATTATTATTATTATAATTTATTATTACTTAATATTATCATTATTTATTAATTACTATTATCATTACTTATTATCATTAATTGTTATTATTTATTATTTTTATTATTAATTATTATTATTAGCATACTATCAATACCATGCTTTTTTATATGAAATCCAAGTACTGTCTAGAATAGTCATATCAGAAGGAATTTTTCACCTGCTAAAATAAGATGAAATAATTTTATTTTATTCATGGGCCACGGAGAGAAATTTTTGCGCCTTTTTAGACTCACGTTTTCCACTGACATGACGTGGAATGATTATATTGAATCAATTGCTAGATCTACTGCTAGGAAAGTTGGTTCACTATGTCGTCCCAGACAATTTTTCTCTCCAGAATCCATCTTGCACATTTATAAATCTACCATTCGACTGTACGTTGAATATTGCAGCCATATCTGGTTTGGTGTTCCTGCTATATATCTCAAGAGTATTGACAAAATTCAAAGAAGGGTATGTAATGTAATCGATCCTGGTTTGGTATATCGAGTTCAGTCATTTTCTCATCGACGTGACGTGATTTTCCTCTGTCTTTTCTCCAAATATTTTCATGGCAACTGTTCTGATGAGTTTTTTCCCCCGCTAGTGCATGGATTTAAACGTGCTACTAGATTGGCAACTAGGTCTCATTGTCTTACTGTAAAATCGCGCCACTTCTATTCTAAAAGTTTCTTTTCTCCCACTCCTCACCTGTGTATTTCTTGCTTCACTTCCACCTACAATCTTCAAAAATTTAAATGAAACGTTAATCGCCATCTTCTGTCTTCATGAACCCTGTACCTTTATTATCATTTCCTTACTCCTTCCTAATAAAGTCTTCTCACTCTCTTTCACTCCCTGTAATTCCCTGCGCCCTAGTGGCATTATCGCCTTGTTTGGAGTGAAACGATAAAAAAAAAAAAATTGTGATTTCCTTATAGGGAAACATTCGGCATTTATTGACCCGTGCTACTTTCATTTGAAATATATAAAATATTTTTCTGAAAATAATTTTTCAGGAAAATAGATTTCTCAAGACCACTGTTAGTGTTCATTCCAGTACTGAAGGCGGTTTCCTTCCTAACCTTTTGTTTGAAGTAGTGTGGATGATCAACATTATGATTCTGTTATTATTTTCTCTTTGAGTTACATGTGCTATCCATTTTAGTTGTTGCTGTTGCTTGAAGTCCCCCAAGTGATGTGGCCTTTCTTATTTGGCTTCTGTTATTTGCTTGTGATTCTGTAACATCAGTCCACAAGGTCCGAAGAAATATGGTCCTCGTTACGACATTATCTCATTTTCTAATTTTTATTTATACCTGATCCATACACCGAGGCATTTGAATTATTTAGTATTTATAAATTCCACATTCTGAATTTTTATTATGATTTCAGGCTACCACCATTGTTTTCATTCCAATTCCAGAACATTGACAACTATTTACATGGCTTTTAAATTGTATTATGTATACTAAGTAATGTAGAGACAATTTAAAGTATACAGAGGAACATGCGTTCGTTATATTCAAATACAACATCATTGTATATAAGTCACTTGGTTATCCACATGATAACAAAGTGTCATAGGATAACAAAGATTTACATAGTATTTACAGAGAACGTTAGAAGGTTTTTTTATTAATTGGACAGAATTTTATCACTTTTAACGTTATTTTTGTGGATACTCATATTTGAATAGACGCCCTGTTTATTTATTAAACAGTATATTTATTTTATTTTCGTTTACGGGCCTGAATAGAAAATCTTATTAAGTTATTTTTCATCTCCGAGCAGAATTGATTGAGTTCAAAATACCGTATAGTTTCCACATCAAACATCCTCTTCCATTTACACAATTTTTCTGTGTATTTTATTACATTTTTACATTATATTATATAGTCTTTATATTATATAGTCTTTATATTATATAGTCTTTATATTATATAGTCTTTATATTATATAGTCTTTATTTGAAACACTTCTCGTTATAGATCCTTATATATTTTATATTTGCCCAGTTTTCTTTTCAAACCTAAAATAGCAATTCCTAATGAAGTAATGAACATTTTAAATTTATTAATCCAACAGATTTTATCACTTTAAACGTTGTTTTTAGTGGATACTCATATTTGAGTAGACGTCCCGTTTATTTATTAAACAGTATATTTATTTATTTATTTTTGTCTACGGGCCTGAATAGAAAATCTTATTAATGAAAAATATGCCCCCCTCCAGCAGTATCTGAACCTGCATCTCCCTGGGTAGAGTGAACGATCATTAAATCCGACGTGCTTAAACTGACTCTGCCACGAAAACTTTTGACAATGAAGCAAGACTAAATAGTGCCGTAAAGAGAAATCTTTCTCGTCATAAACTCAAGATTTCAAATCTGTCAAGTTTCGTATCCAAACCCAAACAAAGCAATTTCTTAAGAAGTAATGGAATTTTTATTTATTAATCCGACAGATTTTATCATTTTAAGCGCTATTTTTACTGGATATTCATATTTGAATAGACGCTCGGTTTATTTATTAAACAGCATATTTAATTATTTTCCTCTTGAACATTCAGGCCGGTAGACGAAAATAAATAAATATATTTACAGATCACGACATCTATCAGAGTGATGAAATTTAAATTTTTATTATTGCATTATTCCAAAATTATAACACATCCGCAGATAGTTTATTCATGTCAGTAACTGAGCACAAATAGTTATTAATTAAAAAAAATTAGTAATTAATGTATATTACCCATAACTACATGTACAAGAATGTCGTTTTTGATAAACGTTAAAAAATAACCATAAATATGTAAAAAATGCGTATATTGTCGAAAATTCCTTTTTCCACAATATAGATATTTGTGCTATGTTATAATATTTCTTACCTAAACAATAATACTACTGAATATTTTTTTTTAAACATAAAAGTATATTTAATCACATATTAATAAAAAGAATGATTTAAAGATGCTTTAAATTATATGGAAGGATGTACGTATATGTGAATACGACATTATTTAGTATATGTGAATATGA